ACCCCCCCCCCACACACACCCCATCTGTATGTTTGGCTGTTACCAGCAAATTTAAAAAATATATTATTTTCTCTATGTGGTCAACAATGTGTGTCTCTGTATGTGTTACCCGCAGAATAACTTACACTCCTTAGTATTAGCAGCAATGTGTTTCTCATTCCAGTGTGTGCCCTGTGGGTATGGCTGGCAGTGATAGTGTGTGTGACAAGCAATATTTATGGACCTTGAGTGGACAGAAGGCACATGGGAAAGAGGGGTATGGAATGTCAATTTCCCACCCTCCCTGCTTTCCTTTCAGGCCCTCCCAGGAGGGGTTCTGCATGCAGCTGGCAGCAAAACAGGCAGATTGTGGTAGCTGGGAGGAAGGGGTGGGACCATCCCGCAGAAGAAATGCATGTTCTGGAAATTTTAACAGCTGGGCCTGTGTGTATGGTGGGGGTGGGGGTGGGGTCATTCCCAGACGGCTCTGGTTTAGGGTTTTGTCAGTCCCTACCTGGCTGAAGGAGGGCAGTGGGACAGCCTACACCAGGGACCTCTGTCCCCATGTCCTTCTCTGGGTTCTTAGGGAATGGCACCTGGCTTCATATCTGCCTCCTCCCCGCTCAGTCCCCATGGCACTTTAGGGCCCTTTTCCCTGTTTTCTCACTCCCCAGTGTCCTTCTGTTTTCGCCAGCTCTGCTTTCTCTGTGCTGGTTTGTGTCCTTGTCCCTCCACACCTGTCTCCTCCACACTGGTCGCTGGGGATGTCTTTTCTAAAGGACATCTCTAATCATATACTCTCCCTCCCTAGCACATTCAGCCAGTGCCTGGAGGATAAAGTCCACACTCTTCAGCCTGGACTCAGTGACCTTCCCATAGGGTGTCCTCACACAGCAGGTGACGGGCCCCAGCTCTCCCATGGACCTCTCCTTTCCCAGTTCTGCGCCTTTGCTTCAGTCATTGCCTCTACCTGGAACCCCTCCCTCCTTCAGTAGTTTCTGATGTGAGAGCTTCTCTAGCCATCTCTTGAGGTGCTCCCAAATGTCCCCTTCTCCGAGGAGCCCTTGTTAGTCCTCCCTGTCGTTAAGTCATTGCCTCTGTACTCAGTGTCTCTTGCTTGGTTGAAAGTTTTCTTTTTCTTTTTTTTTTTGAGATGGAGTTTTGCTCTTGTCACCCAGGCTGGAGTGCAGTAGTGTGATTTTAGCGCAGTGCCACGTCTGCCTGCTGGGTTCAAGCGATTCTCCTGCCTCAGCCTCCCAAGTAGCTGGGATTACAGACGCCTGCCACCACACTCAGCTAATTTTTGTTGTTGTTGTTTTTGTATTTTTTTTTTTTTTTAAAGACGGGGTTTCACCATGTTGGTCAGGCTGGTCTTGAACTCCCGACCTCAGGCGATCCACCTGCCTCGGCCTCCCAGAGTGCTGGGATTACAGGCGTGAGCCACCACGCCCAGCCTGTTTTTGTATTTTTAGTAGAGATGGCGTTTCACCATGTTGGCCAGGCTGGTCTGGAACTCTTGACCTCTGGTGATCCATCTGCCTCAGCCTCCCAAAGTGCTGGGAAGATAGGCGTAGCCACTGAACCTGGTCTGGTTGAGATTTTTCTAATAATCTTTCCCCACGTAGCTCTCTGAGGGTAGCAGGCATAGTGTAGAGCATCAGACTTCCCCCTCTGACCCTGATTACTCTTCTCTAAAATAGAATCCTGCCTGTTATCGATAATAAAAAGCTGATATACTTACTGAGTCCTTCCTATATTCTAGACAGTGTGCTCAGAAATAAACATGCATTGCCAATACAGACAGGTCAAGTTACTTATTTACTTCTATTAATAGTAGTGGATGGGATTTGGACTCAGGCCTGCTTGCGTCCACAGACCTAACCACTGAGCAGGGCGCTCAGTTATGTAACTACAATTTCCCACTCACCTCACTCCAACCCTAAAGTGGGGAAATCTCCTGTAGGAAGCCCGAGTTCTGGTGGGAATGGGGAAGCATGTTAGAGTGCTGATTTACCACTTCTGGGTTCTGAAATTCAGGTTGGGCAACCTGACACTTCTCCCTCCCAGCTCAGTCTGGCTTCCTAGTCAATAGGTGAAGGAGGAAGTGTCAGCAGAGAGCAGAGCCTGGAATCAGGACAGCTGGGTTCTAGCCTCACATCGAGCCCTTATTAATACCGTAGTCACAGTCCTGTCCTCTGGGCCTCAGTTACCAAACTTGTGAAACGAGGGGGTTGGTTGGGGCCATCTCTAAGACCATTTCCAGTGAGTCAATTCATGATGTACTGCCTATGTCTTCAGGCAATTTGTTTCGCCAAATTTCCTCATTGGTAAAGGGTGATCACCCCTGCAAATGAAGTAATGGCCATGGAGGTAAAGCTTCTCAAGTGGGATTATTCTGGTGGCAATTTATTGCTTGCAGCTGTGCTGGGGCACCATGAATCCAGGGAATTTTTTTTTTTTTTTTTTTTTTTGGAGTCAGGATGTCCTTTGGTAGTCAAGGCTGGAGTGCAGTAGAGCAGTCATGGCTCACTGCAACCTCTGCCTCCTGGGCTCAAGCGATCCTCCCACCTCAGCCTCTTGAGACTGCAGGCAAGCACCACTACCTCCAGCAAATTTTTTTCCTATTTTTTGGTAGAGATGGAGTTTTGCTATATTGCCCAAGCTGGTCTTAAACTGCACTACTCAAGCTATTTGCTCACCTTGGCCTCCCAAAGTGCTGGGATTACAGGCATGAGCCACTGCACCTGGCCATAGGGAAATGTTAAACAGCCAGCAGTTCCCACACCACTGCCACTGGCAGGAGGTTGAGTGGCAATTCCCAAACAGCTGCTCTCTGCTCAGGCGCCGGGCCGCCCCCTGCCCAATCCTTGCAGGCCGCCAGGCCCCCTCCAGCCGGGGCCGTGGAGCACGGGGGCAAAGGCCCGGCCCCCCCCCCCCATGAAGGAGCGCGACGTGGCCCCGGCCGAGCGGGGCAAGCCGGCCACCTACACCGGGGACAAGAAGGCGAAGACGGCGGCCAAGACCAACAAGAAGTGGGTCCGGCTCGCCACCGTGTTCGCCCACGTGCTCTCCGTGTCGCTGGCCGCCATCGTGCTCGCCGTCCACTACAGCCTCATCTGGCAGCCGGTGGGTGCCGGGACCTCGGGGGGAGCCGCTGGCCCGCCCCCCGGCAGCTCCAACGCCACCGGCCCGTCCGTGACTTGGTGAGCGGCGGCGGTGGCGGGGCCCAACACCACCGGGTCGTCCCGCCGCGCGACGCTCCCCCACTGCAGGCGGCGCGTCCGGCGCCTCCGGAGCCCCCCGCGGACAGCCCCCCGGTCTGGCCGCTTGAGCGGCCTCGGGGGCCGGACGAGGACGAGGAGGAAGCGGCGGCGGCGCCCGGGAGTCGTTGAAGCCCTCGGCGCTGGGGGCGGCCGGGAACCATCATCCCCAAGCCCAGAGGAAGGACTTCGCATCAGGATGGGGTGGAGAGCCCGCAGGAGTGACCCCCACGGGAGTGAACGCCCCCCACACTCCTACCATCGCCGGCTGGTCCCGGAGCTGGCGGCCCGCAGCCACATCTTCAGCCAAGGGACCACGATTCGCCGGGGGGCTGGGTGGCTGGGGGGCTGCTGCCCAGGACCGTGCGGCACAGGGCCCTGAGCCCTAGGGGGATGGGGGAGGGGTGGGGAGATCCCAGCACCAAAACCTTCTGCGCCGCTAGGTCTGGTGTATCCTACATGCAGGGGTGACTCGGGCTTTCCCCCAAGACTCAGGGGAAGGAGGGCGCTGTAGGAGCTCTTTTTAAGTAAGCTGAAGCTCTCGAAAGGAGGAGGGCACCAAAAGTAGTGGAGCTCAGGTACGTCAACCTAGTTTCAGTGGCCAGAGATGCATTAAATTTCTAGATCCCTGTATATAGTTGCTGACATATGCACTAGAAGCTATAATCACATAGAATTCTATGTATATCCTCCCACACCCTGGGTAGCTACTGACTGAAGGGGCCAAGCAAGGGCTATTTGCTGGCCCCCAAAGTACACCTGGCCAGAAGGGCACAAACACAGCTTCTTAAAATCACTCCCTCTTTCCCCTGTTCCCCTTCTATTTCTGAAAGATAAGTTTATGACGTTCTTACACAAGAGAGTATAATCATTCTTAGACTGTTAACATGGCTGTGGAAAGCCTTAGGAGAAGTAGGAAAAAAAAAAAAAACTTTCCATGAACCTCTCTAGATGGAGACCGCCTCAGGTGCACTTGCATAGTTCAAAAGAGGAAGTCTGGGCTTGGTTGAAATGCATGAAAAGCATACAGAATGTCCAGGCAGCCAGAGGGGAGGAGGGGAAAACTGAGACCCAGATCAGGGCTGGACCAGCCTTCTCAGGCTTGCTGCAAACTCAGATTCTCCTGTGTATTTCCCAGGAAACACCTTGCAAGGATTTAAAGACATAACTCACTCCTGGACAGACCTGACCACCTCAGGCTCTAATGAGGAAGATCCAGGCTGCACGTCTAAGTAGAAGACAGAGGCCTTCACTGGAAACATGTTTATGTGTTTGTGCATCTCTTTATTTTTTCTTTAGAGATAAAAAGTGTCAAGGGAATGGATCAGACACACACTTTAGGATGTTAATGTTAGAAGGGAAGCCAATAATTTTTTTGTCTAACTCTCTCATTGTAGATAAGAAGATAGAGATTCAGAGAGGAAAAAGGGCTGGCCCAAGGTCAGAAAGCAGGTACATGGCAGATGCAGATTTGAACCCAGGCCTCCCAATTCCTGGTCCAGTACTCTAGTGTGGCCTGGATGGAGAAGGGTGGTGAAATGGATGGGGAGATTTGTCAGTTTGCCCCAGCACGTTTACTGCTCCTCCCGCCCCCCTGCCCAACACATTCAACTGGCACCTGCCACCAACCCCATCATTCAAAGTACAGACACTACTCATTCTACAGACGGAGGCTCAGGGTATTTTTGGATCTGACATAGTCAAAACCAGGGCAGAGGCTGTAGCGGGGGAGGAAGCTGGGAAAGGCTGCGGAGTCAGAGGGGAATGGAGGTGGACAGGATCTATGGGTACTGTTTTTTAGCCACTCAGCTGTGCTGGGCCCTCGATGGCCCGTGGGAGTGGGAGCCTTTCCTAAGCTCCATTGTAGGTAAGAGCCCAACCCCAACCCCTCCCCCAACCCCTCCCCCTTCCTTAGTCTCTGGAGCTGGAACAATCGGGCTTGGCTGTGGCGGCTGGTGCTGATGACCATTTCTTGGCAGAGGTGCCCCCCAAAGCTGTGGCCCTAGTCCTCGCCACCACAGAGAGCCAGCAAGGCCTTCAGGAAGTCTCCGGAGGTGTCGCCCTGGCACAGGCAGAGAGCAGAGTGAGTGAAAACAGTCCTTCCAGCCTCAATGCCCCCTCCTCCCAAATGCCCATCTGTCTGGACATCTCCCTTGGCTTCTCTCCATGGCCAGTACAGCTGCCACATGTAGGTCAGAGGGATCTACCCAACACATAAATGTGACCACGCCCCTTCTGTTTATCCCCAGGAAGATGTGCAAGCTCTTGGCCTGGATTCAAGGCCCTTTGGGATTTGACCTGTGCAGAGCTCTGCAGCTTTACCTGCTCCTTTCCCCCAGGAGCACCTCAGTCCTCTCTCCACCTGTCCAGCATGCCCCTATGCACCCCCAATCCTGTCTGCCAGCGGGGCCCTCTCCTCTGAGGCAGAGTAAATTCCTGCCTCCCTTGGTTTCCCTGGCACTCTGCTGATACCCTCCTCCATGGCCCTATTGTGTCAGGTGATTCCTTATTTGAACAAACAATATTGATCACTGACTGCCAGGCCATTGCTGGGAATGGGTGTGAACACCATCATGCTCACCACACATCACAGTGGTCTGGCACACGGTCAGACTGGGGAGGCCAGACTTCCTGACTCACGGGTATGGCTCTCCTTTCTGAGGGACTCCTATCATTGTTATGAGACACGGTTTCTGGGATTTTGTTTGTTCTTATATTTTTTGATATATGATTTTAAAACATAATACAGTATCAAAATGTGCTAACAATTTACTTACATTCCTACTAAGTCTGCAAGAGACAGACTGTGAGATGTCCCTAGTCTTGTTAGCCAAATGGAGCCAAGCATCAAACTTTAAGATTCTGGCTGATCTCAGAGACCAAAAACGTAAGCTCCGTATGTCAAAAAAGTCAGACACAGCCGGGTGCAGTGGCTCACCTCTGTAATCCCGGCACTTTGGGAGGCTAAGGCAGGTGGATCACTTGAAGTCAGGAGCTAGCAACCAGCCTGGCCAACACGGTGAAACCCTGTCTCTACTAAAAATACAAAAATAAGCTGGGTGAAGCGATGAGCTCCTCCCGAGGAGCTGGAACTACAGACATACATCACTAGGCCCAGCTTGAAGCCAGGAGGAGGCTTGCTTGAACCCAGGAGGTGGAGGTTGCAGTGAGATGAGATGGCACCACTGCACTCCAGCCTGGGCAACAGAGCAAGACTCTGCCTTAAAAAAAAAAAAGTCAGACACAAAAGGTCACCTATTAGGTGATTCCATTTATATGAAATATTCAGGCAAGGCAAATCTACAGAGACACAAAGTAGCTTGCTGGTTGCTTACGGCTGGAGATGGAACTAGATAAACAGATATGAGAGAGCTCAGTGGGATCACAGAAGTGTCTGTAAACTGGCTGCATTATGGGGATGGTGGCACACTCAGTAAATTTATTAAAAACTGTTGAATTGTACCCTTTAAACAGGTGAATTTTAGGATATGTTTTTTGTTTGTTTGTGTGCCTGTTTTTGAGACAGAATCTTGCTCTGTCACCCAGGCTGGAGTGCAGTGGCATGATCTCAGCTCACTGCAACCTCTGTGTTCCGGGTTCAAGTGATTCTCCTGTCTCAGCCTCCTGAGTAGCTGGGATTACAGGTCGCCACACCTGGCTGATTTTTGTATTTTCAGTAGAGACAAGATTTCACCATGTTGGCCACGCTGGACTCGAACTCCTGACCTCAGGTGATCCACTCGCTTTGGCCTCCCAACATGCTGTGATTACAGGTGTGAGCCACTGTGCCTGGCCATGATATGGAAATTATACTTCCATGACATTGCTTTAAAAAAAGTAAAAAATGGGCTTTTTATTCGGAAATCTCTAATCATAAACCTTTAATTCTTCTGGAATTGATTTTGGTATAAACAAGGCAACAGGCCCCCTTTCATTTCAATATCCTGGCTGTTCAAAGCAGCAACCCACTGGGAAAAAGTCCATGGGAATAAAGACTTCTAATCTTACATTAGGGATTTGGCACTCACCCCCTTCCCACTAACCTGTAGCCCCTCCCCTTACCTCAATGGCTTGGTGGAGAGACTTGTCGTATTTCTCAATGAATTCCCGCCGGATGTTGAGCAGGTCGATCTCACTGCGGGAGACCATGATCCTGGTGAGAGTCTTCTCATCAGTGCCAGCACCCTGGTGGAGCCAGGCAGGAGGGAGACATAGGCGGGAGGAGAGACAGAGCCCAATCAGGCAAGAAACAGTGATGTCCATCTGCCTCCCTCCCTCGTTCCCTCCAAAAACAGGGCAGATGTTCTGCCTCTGTCTTCTGCAAATAGTCCTGAACCAAAATTCCCCTGTGCCCAGGACTGGCCAGACTGACAGGCAAAAAAGGTGTATATGGATTGAATAGTATCCCTTCCAAAACTCATGTCCACCTGGAACCTCAGAACATGATGTAATTTGGACATAAGGTCTTTGCACATGTAATCAGTTAAGATGAAGTCATACTGAATTGGATTGAAGCCTAAACCAATAACCAATATCTTTATAAGAAGAGAGGGGGCACAGACATACACACAGCAAAGGAACCAGGTGAGGACAGCGGCAGAGACTGGAGAGATGCACTCACAGCCAGAAACACCAACGACTTCTGGCAAGCACCAGAAGCTAGGAGAGGCAGGGGAAAGTTCCTCCCCCAGAGCCTCCAGAAGGAACCAACCCAGGCGACACCTTGATTTTGGGCTTTTGGCCTCCGGAACCATGAGAGAATAAACTTCTGCTGTCACCCAATTCGTGGAATTTGTTACAGCACCCTAGGAAACTAATACAGTGCCCAAGGAGCAGGCACAGGGCATGGAATGTATGGGCAGCCAGAGCTACCTCTGCCCCCAGGGAGCTATGAGCACCAGCCTAGGAATCAGAGATAGGTTCGAGTCCCAGCTCTGTCTCTTAGGAGCTATGTAAATGTGGGCTATGCTTTACCCTGCCTAGGCCTCAGTTTCCTACCACAACGTCACAGGACTGCCACGAGGGTCAAATGTGGTCAGAGAGATGAAGCCCTTGGCACAGGCTTGACACACAGTGAGGACTTAAAGAATGGTTGTCACATTTGGAGACTGTAGACTGAGGGTCTCAGGTTCCTTCCTACCCTCCTGCCTGCACAGGCTGTCAGCAGTGAAGACTCCAGTGGCTGAGAGGGTGGCCAGCGTGGCCTGGGCTCTCCCAGAAGGGAGGGGCATGCTTGCGGCCTTTGATGACTATTTGTCATAGGAGATCCTGTGTCACCTGATAGATTATGAGCTCTGAGAGGGCAGAGACTGGGTCCTACCCAGCCCTGTGGCCCCTGAGTGCATTTCTCAGCCTTGGCTTTTCGGGCTGGGTAATTCCTTGTTGCACAAGCTTGTCCTGTGCACTGAGGATGTTTAGCAGCATCCTTGCTCTCTCCCCACCAGATGCCGGTGGCAGTTCTCCAAGTTGTGATGACCAAAAATGTGTCTGGATATTGCCAGATATCCTCCAGTGGGGGAAATCACTCCCAGCTGGGAAA